CACAAGTCCAGGTAGATTGCACCAACTACTCTACCCTTGTTCATCAGTTCCATAGCCTCATCACAGAAAGCCACCAAATTGGTCAGGCAGGATTTCCCCTTAGTGAAGCCATGCTGGCTGTCACCAAGCACCTTGTTGATTTTCATGTGCCTTAGCATGCCTTCCAGGAGAATCTGCTCCAAGATTTTGCCAGGTGCAGAGGTGAGACTGACTGGTCTGTAGTTCCCTGGGTCATCCATTTTCCCCATCTTGAAAATGCGGGTTACATTACTCTTTTTCCAGTGGTCAGGAACTTCACCTGACTGCCATGATGTTTCAAATGTGATGGCCAGTGGCTTAGCAACTTCATTCGCCAGCTCCTTCAGGACCTGTAAATGGATTTCATCAGGTCCCATGGACTTGTACACGTTCAAGTTCTTAAGATGGTCTTGAACCAGATCCTCTCCTACAAGTGAGCCCAGGGTCTTTATTATCACAGTCCCTGCTTCTGCCTTCCAAGACTTGGGTGATGAGGTCAGAGCCTTTGCCAGTGAAGACTGAGGCAAAGAAGTCATGCAGAACCTCAGCCTTCTCCAAATCCAGGGTAACCAGTTCTCCTGACAGCTTTTGGAGGGGGCCTATGTTGTCCCTAGTCTGTCTTTTATTCACTACGAATCCCTTCCTGTTACCCAACATCGCTAGCCAAGTTTAATTCTAACTGGGCCTTAGCTTTCCTAACCTGGTCCCTAGCTTCCCAGACAACATCGCTGTATTCTTCCTAGGTTGCCTGTCCTTGCTTCCACCTTTTATAAGCCTCTTTTTTCCCTCTAAGTTTCCTCAGCAGCTCCTTATCCATCCAAGGGGGTCTGCTGGCCCTCCTGCTGCATTTCCTTCCAGTCGGGACACAACACTTGTGGGCTTGTAGCTGGTGATCCTTGAATATCAGACAAGAGTCTTGGGACCCCCTGCCTTCTAGGGCTATATCCCATGGAACCTTACTAAGCAGGTTCCTGAAGAGGCCAAAGTCTGTTCTTTTGAAGTCCAGGGCAGTGAGCTTGCTGCACGCTCTTCTCACTGTCCTGAGGATCTCAAATTCGAGCATCTCATGACCGTTGCATCCAAGGCTGCCCTGCAGGGTCACATTTCCAACGAGCCCTTCCCTGTTGGTGAGCACGAGGTCAAGCATGGCACCTCTCCTTGTTGGCTCCTCTATTACTTGCAGAAGGAAGTTGTCTTCTACACAACCGAGGAACCTCCTGGATTGCTTGCGCCGGACTGTACCGTCGTGCCAACAGACATCAGGGTGGTTGAAGTCTCCCATGAGAACAAGGGCCTGGAGTGTGAGGCTGTTCCTATCTGTCTGTAGAGCGCTTCATCCACAGGTTCTCCTTGATCAGGCAGTCTGTAACAGATCCCCACAGTAATGTCTCCCATAGCTATATTCCCTTTAAACCTGACCCACAAACTCTCTGTGGACTGCTCACCTGTCCCCAGACAGAGTTCCATACTCTCCAGCGTATCCCTAACATAAAGGGCAACTCCCCCCCACCCCCGCCTGCCAGGCCTGTCTTTTCTAAAGAGCCTGTAACCTTCTATTCCAACACTCCAGTCGTAGGAGCCATCCCACCATGTTTCTGTGATGCCTATTCATACCCCGTAGATGTACACACATCTCTAATTCCTCTTGTTTGTTCCCCATACTGAGAGCGTTTTTATAGAGGCATCTGAGCTGAGCTCCAAATGAAGCCGGCTCATTGGCTGGAGTGGCTGGAATATCTCTACATTGCTCCAAGCATTTATTATAGGTGCTGACAACTGACTGATGGAATGATGCCCTCCTCCCCCAACACATCTAGTTTAAAGCATCCTTGACCAGTGTGGCAAGCCTGCTTCCAAAACCGGAGGCTTTACTTAAACAAAGTTTTCCAGACTCTATTCTAAATATAACTTGCAAAAGAAAACAAGTGTGTTGATTCAGATTCATATGTTTTCTGACTGTTCAAGATACTTTGTTTAATTCTTCCTCATAAATTTCATAAACTCCTTCTCAATATCATGAGGAAGTTGTAATATTGTTTATTTTCACATCTTATTTAAACCAGCAAAACATGATGGCATAGCCTCTCCTTCAAACGCACACTCACACATATTGGATGAGTAACTGCTTCTCAGCAAGATCCAGAAGATGGAGAACTGTGATATGAGAGAATAATAATAACAAGCTCCTACTCAAATACATGTATCTGAAATAATAGTAAAGAATGAAAAATACAAAAGACATTCCAGTAAATGTGTTTTTTTAATTTTCTTTTTTCTTCTTTTTCTTTTTTCTTTTTTTTTTTCTTTTAATTTGCCTTAGTTTTAACTGCCCTTTTTAGATCTAAATATCAAACATACTGGTTTTCAGTGGTACAGTTATCATTTGTTTAACTGTACAGGAATGATGCAAGTTGCATGCATATTGAATTTGGTCCCGTGGATTTTATCTCATTTTATCTGAACAGTAAATCTGCAAAATGATTAGCCTTCAATTTTAATGTAATATTGTAAAGTACCATGAGATGACTTGGCATAATAAGGTACTATAAAATTTTAAGTAGCTGTTCTTATGATAACTTTGTGGTAAATGACCAACAGCTACTTGCCAGTATCTACTTTGCTATACAGTTTTTTCTCAACCAAGTGGCTTATAGCTTCAACAAGTATAAACAGTGGTGAACAGGATAGGAAAGCTTTATACTTTTCAGATGTTTTAGGTATCTACTGCATTCATAATACTTTTTTTCTCATCTTTCAGCAGAGATAACTGTGAATGGTCACTTTTTCCATTAGGAATTGAGTTTACTTTAGGCTGAAATAAAGCAGAGTACCTTTCTATACTGAAATGCCAAGATACAATAAAAAGTCTGAAACATCACAGACTTCTCCAATACTGTTTGCTGCATCACCAGTCTAAGTGGAAGCTGGATAGTATGATAATTTCACATAATTTCATTTGACTTTTGTATTCAAAGTTATTTTTGGAGTGTTAGAAAAAATAGCAAAGTACTGAAAGCCTAAGACTTATTTTACTCTTACAAAGCTTATCTTACTTCTTTCAAAGTACTCAGACTGAGTACAGTCAGATTTAAGCTTTTTATATAATGTCCCCTGTAATTCTAGTGATAAAAAAGTCACACTTATATATTTTGGTTATAACTTGAATTGTGATTTCTTCTATTATAAGTGTTCAGAATCAGTGTTCATTTATTACTAATATCTTGTTTCACTTTCTTGTCATATGCCTTTATATTAGTTACAGGTCTTAATGTGCCTAAAACAGTTACATGTACATACAGTAAACACCAACTATAAAATCCTATAAAATCTTTTTTTTTTCGTTAGACATACATTTGCTTCAATATTATATAAGAGAAAGCCTATTAATGAAATTATTTCTTATGGTACTGAACTTAAATTTCATCATCAATAATTTCTTTACAACTTTATGATTTCACTACTTTCCTATAAGAATGATGTTATAATTTTAATATTATCAGAAAGCTTAAGAAGATGGCGTTACCACAGATTTGGACTGTCAAAACGAGTTTAGCAAGGAGTTTGGGTTTCTTGAATGTCATCTCTGCATAACCTTGAACATGACAAATGAGGATTTGAAGAGCATTAATATGTATGGAAAATGCAATCTATTTTCTGGCTCCACAGTCATAATTAGGTTCTGATAGAGCCGTCTGTACCAATTTACCAAGAAACTTTTTTTCAAAAAAAACCCTTCACTTTTCAGAGTATTTATCAGTGATAGTGAGAAGACATCAAGGCCAAGTTTAGAAGTAAAATGATTTGGAGGTTGTTGTAAGTTAGTTGCTTTTATACCGGTTATTGTCACCATTGGATAGGTGAGTCTAATCATTTTTAAGGCAAGTTGTCCTATAGTTTATGCAGAAACAACAGATTCTACAACACATGAAGCCCCAGTGAATCTAGATCTATATTACCCAAATAATTACAAAACACAAACATGTAGCAGTAACTTCTATGCTAATATTTTACATTTATTTGGTAAACTAAATCCACTAGTTTGCAATGAAACTACTTTTTGCAATGTAACTGTAGAAGCTCTTTCTGTTATCTTTCACATCCCTTGCCAGATTTAATTCTAACTGGGCCTTGGCTTTCCTAACCTGGTCCCTAGCTTCCCAGACAAGGTTTTCTTCTTTTTTTTTTTTTTCCATTTGTTTGTTTGTGTTTCCCCTTTGTATTATGACATCTGAAATACGGGGCCACCCAGTTTAAAGCTTTTGTCCTTATCTGTTAAAAAACATAATTTTACTTATGGCAATAAAACCTGATATGTCAGACAATTGCTAATGGTTGGTTTGTTAAAGCTTTAAGTATTTCAAGATAAAATACTAAATGCAGAGTCCACTATGTATTTATATCTAGTTGTTTGCTACCTTTTAAACATCCAAATATATGTTTGTGTATGTAATCAGAGGCATGAATATGTAAGTACACATACATACATGCAGACATGTGTACATAGATGAAATTGGGGCCTCATCAGACAGGATGTGTATTCCCTTCACAGCTGAAAACCCTCTTTGCAGAAGTTAATGAATTATAATGGAAACATCTATGCCATCCAAAAGAGTAGCTCCCTCCGTTCTGTGCAGGATAATGCTTTCCAGTTTTACTTATCTCTCCTGGCTATAAAATAAGACTATTTTACAGGAAGCATTAATTGATAGCATACACAGGGATCTGAAAATGGCACCATGGTTTTGTTCAGTGTAAAGAATGAGAGATTACAAAGCATTGCTGGATAGGGAAAATTTGCTAAACACATGTACAGTGAGTGTCTTGGACTGCACAATGTATACGGTAGTAGAAGGAATGAAGTCTGCATCAGTCCTCAACAAAGAAGTTTCAGGTAATAACCACAACAGTGGGGTTGTGAGATCTCAAGATTGATATTGTATTGTTATTAGACTCTTTAAGTAAAGAAGTTGGAAGCTGCTCAAATTCTTCATGGAGCTTTTTTATTTTTATGTAATTTGGTCAACATTCACAGCAAAAGCAAAATACATCTGCAGTGCTACCTTGGGTGAGTCTGTTTTAAAAAGAATGGTTACACCAGTGAGCTCTTCTATGTCTTTGCTCTGTCACATGTCAGAGTAATGGGCTGCTTGTCAGCTGTGAAGATAAAAAGGCAGTACCTATGTTTTTTGTGGGTATTTTTTTTTTTCCATGCAGGCAGATGGACATACCTTAGCCCCTTTTAAATGGCCAGAGGCACAAGTTTAGGTAAGTGAACTGACCTAAGTGATGATATAGACAAGTGACTTGACTCAGCTCCCTGCATATAGGTGCACCGTGACCTTAATTGTGGTCTGGGTTTACCTCATGGCCTCCAACTGCTGCTCCAGGTGGAAACAGCCCCATATAATTCCTGTGTTGTACTTGTTAGCTATGGAGGGTGCTGTACTAACTGCCCATATAGCAGCTCAGATGTCATGAAACACTTATGCACAAGGCCCTAGGGTAAGATCCAGTTTAGTATTAAGACATCTCTCAACATTTAGGGGTCTAAATGACTGTGGGGTGTTTAGACATTGTAGTGAATGACACTTACGGAGGGAATCTGCTGACAAACATCAATATTCAGTTGTAAACATACAGAGGGACTTGTGCTGGGGTGGTGGACATACACCAAACAAATAAATGTATGACAAAGTAAGTGGAAGACAAAAAGTGTGAAATGTTGATCTGTTTAAGAAAAATCTTTCATGGGAATTGGAGGAGGGAGCATTATTTGATAATTGAAATGTATTATTTTGCATTGCCTTGGCAAAGAACAGTATAGAAAGGTCATAAATTCTGTACATGGAATAATATATTTTATAATGAGATTATTTTATAGTTGTTGATTCTATAATATTTTAAAATTCTAGGAAAATTGCAGGTATTCTGAAAGAACCAATCTAAAAAAGGTTCAGAAGCAAATGTTTCAACATTTTCCCAGCAAAATGGAATTCAAAATGAAGTTATAGATAGGTTTTCATTCCTGAACTTGTTCGTTATAAAATATCTTAGAAAAAAAACCCCACCTTTTTCTCTGAGAGTCTCTAATGTGAAAGAAAGGAGGTTTCTTCAAATGACACAGACAAAAGAAGTAGTAGAATTTTGATGAAACTTAAGTCAGAAAGTCTCCTAAGATCATATTAAGAATAATATCCTTTATTAAGGATTAAAAAAAAGGTGAAACAAGAAAAGCAAAAGGAGAGAATGTCTCCCACTAGAAATTTTGATCTGGCACCAGGAGCAGAAGCTGGACAAGCATGCTTTTAAAGATGGTTCATTACCCTTTTTAAGTCAGTAAATAAAGAGGAAAACGGTAGCAGTGCTTGGGAGTAGTCCTGGAATTGAAATTCTGGCATCTCACTTCTCTATGTATTTTCTGTGGAAAGTTAGGAGCTTCGGACTGGGTTTCACTGTACCCAGCAGCCTGAGTGAGAAAAATATAAACTGAAAAGAAAGGCTGTGTTTGTCTCCCACATAGCAAACATCTCTGACATCAGAGGGCATCTGAAAGCTGAAGGGAAGTCACAAACAAGACTAATTTCTTGATTTTCAGGTCTGTGTCACCCTGGTGAACTGTTAGGGTGAACCTAACCCTCCCTGAAGGGTTGACATGAGTTTACATTCATGAGGTGAGGAGCATGATCTGGGTGAAAACTGGGGGACAGACAGGGAAAGGAGGGAGAAGAAAAAACCTGCAGCAGTTGCAGGAATCCTTGAGAAGGTTTCTTTGGCTGGTTTCTCATGTGATGCTGATTTATTATAGATGTTGCTTCTGACATTCTGGTTAATTTGATAATGAAATTATTTGTCACTACCAGCTGAGAAAGAATGAAAATTAGTGACCACAAAGGTGATCATGTTAGTCACATCATTTATTAAAAATGTAAATCCTGTTAAATGAATGAAAAGAATCCAGTGATTTAAAAGGAAATAAGTGTGGCATAATGTTATAGTGGTAAAAAGCAATACCACCACCACTGATGCCTAATAAATAATATAGTCTGTTGTTTTATAAACTGCTGTGGGTCCTTAAGTAATGGGCAAGGAAGGTCTTGTGGAATATGGTTGCCCTTACAAAAGCTAGTTGATGTATTCCATAGCTGCTGTTCTGCGTTTTGCTGCTTGTAATTATAAAGAGCTGTTCCTGTGTGAACCTTTCAGTCATCTCTTGCTAGGCTGTCAAAAGTATGATGGATATGAAATAATTTTTTTTTTTTTTTTTTTTTAATAGCAGGTATTCAGGCAACAAGGCAGTCTAGCCCACATCTTGTACTAATCAGTAGTTTTATAATTATTGACAAATCAGATAAAGTGAAAGCTTTATTCTGAACTATTTTGTAAGAGTTTGCTCTCCAACTATTCTGTTATAATAAATCTGTTTTTCTGTCAAATAGATTGAAACTGTGTTTCTTCATTGCATTAAAAATGATGGCAGTGATAAGAATGTACCGGGTAGCAGAAGCTGAAAAAGCTCAATTTAAGTGCTGTCAAGAGATTCCAGTTAGTCCTTGGTGACTTCATTATATATTGTGCATATAAAATCTTCTTGAATTTTCTTGTTAGGTGGGCTTATATGTCATTCTCAAGCTTTCACTTGATTGACAGCTTGCAATAGAGCAATCAAATTATTTTTTCTATGTATCTGCTTGATTTTTCACAAGCAATAAATGTAAACTGAGCATCTTGTAGGCTAATATTCAGAGCTCTCTGTGGGTAGTGTGCATTAAATTAATCAGTGGCAACAGAATTTCTACCTACGTCTCTCACAGGCTCATTTCAACCCTTTTTTTTTCTTCTCCTTAGTGCTTGGAAGACAACATTTAAACCTTAGAAAAAAAAGTGTATCTGTCTGTTGTACTAAATACAGCTTTCATTTCACCACCTCACTTAAACAAATGTTGCCTACATGAATGCCTGTAAAGTAAGAAGTTACTAAAACCATTCTATTATTGGTATGAGACTGAGATATTTGGATGCTGTACAGCCACAATGCTAGGAATGCTATAGTTGCCTGTTTGATGTACAGGTAGAGCTAAGGGTGTAAGGAAGATGGAGTCAGAAAATCCAGCAAACTGGGTAGTTATCCACAAGCTTAAGTGAACCAAAGGCAATGTGACAAAAAAAGAGCGAGTTTATACTCCTGCCTCTTTCCTTGACACAAAGTACATCCACGGAGGCAATGTGTAAATTCATCTGTTATATCAGTTAAATGCACCTACCCCTTCACCTACATGCACATCAACGCAGAGGGTATACGTGTGTATGTCTGTTGGCGTCATGTAACATACAGGTACGTTTTTCATATGACACAAGCTGTCTCATTTTGGTTATGTTACTGGCAACCATTGTATTCATATTGCTTGATAAATGCACTGCTCATTGTATGATCAGAACTCTATTTAACAGGCTCCTTAGCCCTTTTCATTTGAAAAGATATCCTGTACTTCTCAGGCAATGTAAATGATTCAGACATTTCTTCTTCCACTTGGGTTTTAACTTGAGATAGTGCAGAAATAAATACACAGGCCGTGTTAACCTTGTCCCTGGGAAAAGTTAGCGCACCTATGAAGCAGCTGTGGAGCTCCATCCCAGTAGTGACATTGCTTGGGTAGGTCACCATCTCCTTTAGTAGAAAACCCTGAGTAACTCAGAAAGGTAATGAAAAAAAAAAAACCAAACCAACAAAACCAAGTAGAAGTTGTGTCAATTAAAGCCTAACTTATTCTCTGACTTCTAGGCCATTCTTCTTTCATGGAAATGGTACTATTTTATAAGAGTATATTCTCCATTCATATGCAGATATAAGCACGTATCCAGTCTGAAGCATGAAGAACCCATCAGAAACTCTCTCAGGGGGTTCATTGAGTTCTAGTTCCATTTTAATGCACAGTTCAACAGACATCGCTGTTTAGACTTGTGTTTCAGGCAGCAAAAAATCGTGCTATAGTATTAGAAACTGTTTCAGATCATGATGAGGCAGTTAATAAGCCTTGAAGGATGTAACATACGCACAGAAGAATCAAAGCAATGATACCTAGCTGAGTCATCAGAGAAGACTTCTTCCCTCATCTATTCTGGCATCTGTTAAAATGAAGATATTTCAATTTATTCCATTAATGACTGATTAATGATGTATGGAATTTCTCTACATGCTGAAAATATGCCTACCGAGTCACAAACCTTTTCATGACTGCTTATTCTATTTTATTATGGTGTTCCATCAGACTTTGCAGAAAGGTAGAAAAGGTAGAAAATATCTACCTTAAAATTTTCTTTGCAGCCTCTAGCAGTATCAAAAGGTTGTCTTTGTCCTTCTGATCTTTGTCACACACTGTTTTATTTTCGTTTTAACGTTTCTATTTTATTTTTAAACCTATAATTCCACATTTTTTTTTTACTTTAATCTGTGATTATTTTCATAAGGTAATTCCTACCTAATTTTCTTTCTAACCAGCTAGTGTACATTGTATATCCCATCGAAGAAATCATATTATGCATTTACTACACAATTCATACAATTAAATAAATGGTAAAATATTTTCCCTTTTACAGATATTTTAGAAAAATGATTTCTCCATCTACAAGTCTAGTATTTTATTGCCTCAAAAAGCACTGAAAGACAAAATCCAAACAAATAACCCCCCTTTATGTTCCTTTAAAAGATTTCTTTTTTTCTTTCGGTTAAAAAGAGACTAATTTCACAGACTAACGACTGTTAAATTTCTAAAAGGTCTAGAACAAAACATTTTGGGTTTCATATTTTTTTTCTAATAATTGAAATATAAAATAAGAGAGAATAGCTAAGAGTTTTGACACAGTGAACATTTCTGGTTTAGGTGGTTGTTTTTCTCACAATGAAGAGCAACAGAATATTATCCTAAATTTCTTTTTAAATTAATATTTCACTTCTCAGCTCTACTTTTAACTTAAATGCCACTATAAATCAGACCAAGATTTAACAGAATGGGGCCTGTTGAAGATCTTGACATGCGGAAGGACTCCACGACTCGTTAAAGTTGTAAAGTAGGTATGCTTTATTCAGCACTGAGGCATATGGGGGATTGCTCCTCAAAAGGCATGTGCACCTCAGCTTCATTTCCCTCTACATTTATCCTCTAAAGTTATACATATGCACGAGGTTACAAAATACGCCTATGCATATTTATGCCCTATTCCGGCTTCATATTATAATGAGCTTAAAAGTCCTTTGCCCTTGCGCAGCACCTCCTGGTGGTCGTGGGCGAGGTTCTCAAGATGAAGTAAACGAGTCTTCCTTGAGCCTGAACTTTTTACCCCTAGTCGTTGCGCATGCTTCCTGGTGACTTGGTCATTGTCCAAACTGCAGAGCCAGTTTCAGCTGGTCTGGATGCCCAAAGAACAGGAACCAAATCGTGGTCCCTACCTCTTAACAATAGCCATGTCCTTATATCCTGTTCTAGCACACAAAGTGAGTACGATAAGCATGACCGAGCAGTAACATTGTGTCGTGGTTTAAACCCTAGCCAGACAGCTTGTTCACTCACACCCAGTGAGTGGTGCTGGGCTGACAGCAGTCGAGTCCCCGTCCCACCCCCCCCCCCCCGGGGCTCTCCCTTTCCCCGCTCCCAGAAGAATGGAGAGGAGGATCGAAAGAGTGCAACTCCCATGGGTTGAGACAAGAACAGTCCAGCAACCAATGTACAACACAAATCACCACCACTACTACCAACTACAACAATGATAAGAAAAAATAACAAGGGAAGAGAATACGATACCACCGGCCAAGAAACGAGTCCCACCCGGAAGCCCGTGTCCTTCCGGGTAACTCCCAGTTACCCCCCACCCTGGGCATGACATGCCGTGGTATGGAATACCTCCTTGGCTAGCCTGGGTCAGGCGCTCCGTCTCTGCTTCCTCCTGGCTTTCCCTCCTCCCTGGCAGAGCATAAGCCTCACAAAATCCTTGGTCAGGGTAAACATCACTTAGCAACAACCAAAAGCATCGGTATCACCAGCAGTGTTCCCAGGCTGGAAGTCAAAACACAGCACTGCACCAGCTACCACGGAGGAGATAAATGACTGCTACTGCTGAACCCAGGAC